GGGGGGTGGGGGCGGAGCAGGGCGGCATGGGGCATGGGACGTGCTGGGGTTAGTACTCGTCCTGGTCCTCTGGCTGTTGCTCCTCCAGCTCATCGTCCTCTGGCGGGGCGAAGCCCTCCTGGCATGGGGGGACACAGGCACCTATTAGCCCAGGGATCCTGGCTGGCTCCTACCTTGTGTCCTGTCCTCCCCAGGAGAAGGGGCTCAGCAAAGCCCAAACCCACTCCAGGGAGTGAATTAATCATCGAGTCCCAGACCGGCTTGGATTGGAGAGACCTTAGCTCATCTAGTCCCACAGGGACACCTCCCACCAGACCAGGTTGCTCCAAGCCCCATCCCAACCTGGCCTTCAACACTTCCAGGGATGCAGCCACAGCTGCTCTGGGCAACCTGGGCCAGGGTCTCATCACCCTCACAGCAAAGAATTTCTTCCTAAAATCTCATCTCAATCTCCCCTCTTGCAGCTTGAAACCGTTCCTCCTTGTCCCATCACTCCCTGCTCTTGTCCAAAGTCCCTCCCCAGCTTTCCTAGAGCCTTTTCAGGTACTGGAAGGTGCTCTAAGGTCTCTCCGGCACCTTCTCCAGGCTGAACAACCCCAAGTCTCAGCCTGAATGAAGAGAAGCAGCTGCAGGGAAGAGGGGTCCCATCCCACAGGAGGCCAGGGAGCAGGTGCGGGTCTGGGGGCACCAGTGGCGGGGTCCTAGTTCTTACCTCCGTAGCGTAAAGGACACTGATGATACCAGTGATGATGGGGCTGTTCTCGTTCTCATGCTCCTGGCAGATCAGCTCGATGTCCCGCAGTTTGCTGAAGTAGAAATCTCGCTCCTTCTCCAGCCCGTCCACCGTCAGCTTCAGGTCCATCAGCTGTAGGGACGCCAGAGCTGTCACCTGGGGCTGGGAGGGGACTGAGGGGAGGGCTCGGCCCCATCCCAAGGGATACGGGCACAGGCAGGAACGGGCAGAAGTCCTGCCTACCTGCTGGTTGAGCTCCAGGATCTG